GAAATACGAGAAATATGAGGCACAGGTGTAACTCCTGCTGCTGATAGGTGAGTTTCCTACCTAGAAAAATATATGACAGTGTGACAGTGTCTTGGGGGGAGGAGGGAAGTAATTTTATAAGTAGGAAGTAGAAGATTTGGTGATCACAAACTGTGGGGGGCTCTTACAAAAAGCCAGGCAACTGTGAGCGTAGCCTGGTAGTAGAAGCCATGGACAGAGCACTATAGGTTTTTACTAGTCAGTATTGAATATGATCAGTTCTTGGAGCTTGCTAGGAGCCTTTTCTTGTGAGGTCTTGATGCACTAAATGAGGCACAGTGCTTACATTTCTTCTTAAAGGATAAGGGCAGACCTGTCATTTAGTGGCTTGAAAACAGCATCTGCTGTAGTTGGGGAAGAAGAATGCACATGGCGACTGCAGTGAGGCTGCAGAGAACTTTGGACTAAGCTTGTGAATACTTTCATTTTGGTCATGATCTATTTAGATTCAGTATGGTAACTACAAAGCTGCATCCCCCCAACTCCCAAATTTCAGAGGGTGTTGTAGAGTTCTGGTGTGGGATCTGTTGAGATCTGTCTGTAAACTGAAGAAATGCCTGAAGACAGGAAATAATTCTTACCAGAATCCCCTTTTCTCTTGTGATCATCATGATACAGTCTGAAATAATACTGGTAGAGGCAGAGACCGTAAAGGCAGCGGTATAGCAATAACATATGAGAAGGAGATGACATGGATGTCTGTAGAACACTTGCTGATGGACACAGTGGGTGCTGGGGAGAGAAATCAAGGCCAGCTTAAAAGTCCTGAAGAAGGGAAGAAATCTGTGGGAAACATCTGAAATAGAGAGGAATGGGAAGGTAAAACTTGGAGAGCTCTTACGAAAGTAACTGAAAAGCTAGAAGGGCTCTGATAATGCTTTTATAAAAATAGAATGTGTTTTTCTCCTTCCAGTGTGCCCCTCCATAGTGTAAGCAAGAAGCTTCTTCCTTTGAGTCTCTGAATAATAATGAACTACTTGATTAGTTTAAAATAGGTATTTAGTAAAGTAGTAGTAAGTAGGTACTTAACTGTAACTAAGTACTTCTATTTAACTAATTTTGTGTAATTTTTCAGATGAATGCTTGAGCTAGTAGCATGGTTTGAGGTTTTTGAGGGAGCAACCTGCTGATGCAGAGAAGTGTTATTCCAGCTACTGGTGCATAGGCTCTGAAACCATGTCATCTTTTCCAGGTCTCTCCCTCTTTTTAGGTACTTTTTTGAGGCAGAAAAAAAAAGGTCAAAATGGGGCGGAGATCTACATCATCCACCAAGAGTGGGAAGTTTATGAATCCCACGGATCAGGCCCGTAAGTATCAGTACAAGCTTATGGGAATGGGGGGGTAGAGGGTCCTCAGGAGGCAGATAGAAAGCTTTCTCTGAGGATAAGGTCCTCACTTGTGAATCAGAACTGAGTTTCCCTAACTTGAAAAGTATTATCTCAGTTTTGGCTGGTGTAAAAACTCCCTGAGAAGGCTGCTTGCTTCATGCTGCTGCTTCTCTCTGTATTTATGTACTGTAGTCATCAGTGTTCAAAGGACTTTGTACTTAGCTGTTGGATAAACTGCAAGCTACTGCATGGGACACAGTTAATGTGTCTGAGGCTAGAATTTGAGGAACATGTAAAACTTTGCACAAGAGAGTTGACTAACTGTTTTTCCCTTTTGGTAACACACCAGGTGTTACCAATGCTAAGCAGGCAAAGAACATCCAGATTTCCATGATGAATGTGCTTGTTTCAGATGGATACTCAAAGCCTACCTATTTTTAAAGTGCATCGTCTGTTGTTAGCTCTGCTTCAGCTTCTGGGCAGAAATCCTTTCATGACTGCACATACCACTGTGGCTTTTCCTGCTTGTTATTCTTCCTTTTTGTAGAAACACCCCTGCTTCTGGAGGTGTGAAGGCTGCTGCATCTCCTTTAGTTTCTCTATAACACACATGAAATAGAAGTCTATTTCGTGCTGTGTTTCTCTCTCGCTGGGAAGATGAGTTAAACAGTTGAAGTCTTTGCAAAATGACTGAAGAGTTGAGACACAGCACTAGGCTTGATGAAGGAAAGGTTCTTCATGAATTTGTTTCAAGTTATTTTCTTTCTTTTCCCCTCTTCTCTAGGGAAGGAAGCTCGGAAAAGGGAACTAAAGAAGGTAAATAAAAGAGATCAGGAACATTTACTTGTCATTCTGCATGCTGTGTACCATGTTTGTGACTGTGGCCAATGGATAGACTACAGATGTTTTGATTGATATCCTAAGATTGACTTTGGAATATACTGTCCAAACAAGTAGTTTAAGAAAACACAGACAGAAGTCTTCTTTCGAGTAACCATATCTCATCACCTACTATTTTTTAACTTGTAATGATTACAGCTTTTTGAAACATTATTGTAAGAACTTGGGCATTAAAATAAAAGACAAAAAACAAATAAACCACCCCAGACTGACATACTTTTTTAGCATGTTTTACTGCATATCTTTAGTCAGTCGTTATCTTGTTGATTGTGTGTGTGTTTGACTGAGTGAATTCTAGAAATGTTTGTAAATGGCAAGATAGTGGGATTTAAATTTCCAGAAGATTCAATTACCTCTGCTGCTGACTTGTGCCATGGTTAATGTTTGCAGGGCATTTTGAGACACCTTTTTTTCTGCAGACTGGACATACTGACAAGGGAGTATTTGGTACAAATGTTCTTTCTCTTTTTCTCCTGTGCTGCTTTTCTGACCTTCTTGATCTCTGATCCTGTTAGAACAAAAAGCAACGAATGATGGTACGAGCAGCTGTACTGAAGATGAAAGATCCAAAGCAGATTATCCGGGACATGGAAAAGCTGGATGAGATGGGTGAGTGGAGGTAGCAGGTATAGGACTTAGGCGGTGGTTTATGTAGACAAATAACATAGTTTCATAGGATGACAGAAAGATTACAGTAGAGTAACATTTTTCCTTTCCTGTTAGAGGGGGCAATTTTATGAATAATCGGGCATTGATTGTGATTTGAGGTGATGTGGTGCCATCAAAGGTGACTTCCCCACCTCCCGCCTAAGATGGCTGATAGAAAAAGAGTAGTTTATGTGATGGTAGCTTGGAACTGAAGCAGAGAATTGTCATAAGGCTGAAGACTTCCTGGAAATAGGGACTGGAAGTTGTTTGCTTTATGAAATCATAGAATGGTTTGGGTTGGAAAGGACCTTAAGATCATCTAGTTCCAACCCCCTGCCACGGGCAGGAACACCTCACGCTAGACCATGTCACCCAAGGCTCTGTCCAGCCAGGCCTTGAACGCTGCCAGGGATGGAGCATTCACCATTTCTTTGGGCAGCCTGTTCCAGTGCCTCACCAGCCTCACTGTAAAGAACTTCTGCCTTGTATCTAATCTGAACTTCCCTGGTTAAGCTTATACCCATTTCCCCTTGTCCTATCACTACAGTCCCTGTACTTCCCTTTGAAGTTGTCTGATTCATCACAGTTGTGCAGTAGAGTAACTTAGGAATTTTTGGGGTGTGTTTTTGCTGTCTTGGATTAGAGTTTAACCCAGTACAGCAGCCGCAACTTAATGAAAAAGTGCTGAAGGATAAACGCAAAAAACTTCGCGAGACTTTTGAGCGTATCTTACGGCTCTATGAGAAGGAAAATCCTGACATCTACAAAGAACTGCGCAAGTTGGAAGTAGAGTATGAGCAGAAGAGATCACAACTCAGCCAGTATTTTGATGCCGTCAAGGTAATGCTTGTTGTATTTCAGACTTGTAACTGTGGTAGTGTATGCTCTTTATCTGTTTCTTAGGTGCAACAATTGCAAAGGAGAAACTTTTATATTATAAGGCCAGAGTATATGTTATGTCGCTCATATTAAGTACTTATTTGCATAGCGTTTCCGTGAGGACACCGTGGGGGTAGTCGAGTCTGAATTTGTGTCTGATATACTGACTTCATTCAACATGAAATTATGGGGGAAAAGAAGATTCGTGCTAAAAATAAATCATGTCAGAATTTGTTTTCTGTGTTAGAGAGCCAGGCTGTGAGTGTGCAGTTGATATTTCTGTGAAGACTTTTGCTGGAATTAGTGAGAATTTTTGGCATTCCTTTAAAGAGCTTTATTTGACATTTTTCCCTACTGTATTGGAGAACATAATGTTGCCCAAGTGCAAGTATTTGTAAGGCTTTTATTTAATTTTTTTATTCCGCTTTGGAATATGCAGCAGCCTGTAATTCATGCCTTCCGGATACTTAAAAAATACAGGCATAGAATCATACAATGGTTTGGGTGGAAAGGACCTTAAGATCATGTAGTTCCAACCCCCCTGCCATGGGCAGGGACACCTCACACCAGACCATGTTGCCCAAGGCTCTGTCCAACCTGGTTGTGTCTGCAGCCTCTTTGCTTTGGAGACTGAAGGTCTAAAGGGAGATCGAAGCTTGTCTGGGTTTTGACTGAAGTACTAAAGCCTTTCATAGGTGCACCGTGTGTGTTTTGTTTTGTGTTGAAAGCTTTTACTGTTGACATCTTCCTGAGTGTCTTTTGTGGCCTGCTGCAAGAAAACATGGCCTAAGAATAGACATCTTTAGCAAGTGATGGCACATCCCATGTGTTCTGTACTCTGAAAGGTGATGAGGTTGTGCAGGAGCTTCTGTGGGAGTAATCCGTTCTTTCTTTTCTTGCTCTCCTTTTCTCCCCTTCCAGAATGCTCAGCATGTTGAAGTGGAAAGTATTCCCTTACCAGATATGCCGCATGCTCCCTCTAACATCCTCATACAGGACATTCCCCTTCCAGGGGCCCAGCCACCTTCTATCCTCAAGAAGACATCAGCCTATGGGTAAGTGGAGAAAGAAACTTCTAGGGGAGTGAAAAATGAGCACTCTTATTACTGGGGAGGAACTGGCCCAGCCACCTTCTATCCTCAAGAAGACATCAGCCTATGGGTAAGTGGAGAAAGAAACTTCTAGGGGAAGTTACTGAGGAGGAACTATGGGTAGAAGCAGAGGTAATACTGACTAGCAGAAATCAGGAATTATGTGTGAGTGAATTGTACTTTCTTTTAACCAAAACACTTTAATCTTTCCCTCCTGTTATAGGGTTTTATTTAAATTGCATTGAGTAATAATCTGTGTCTTCTAGGATTTGTCTTTCTGCATATCAGTAAAACTTAAAGCTCTGCCACTTTTACCATAAATGCCCTTTAAATTGGCATATTGTATGTGTTCTTTTGTCTTGCTAGTATATTCAGTTTAATCTCCTAATTTACTTGTCTCTCATTCTACAACTAGTTCTTTTTATTTCTTTCTGAATAGCCTTCTGTTTTCACGGACTTTGCGATTACTTCATTTGGCGTCTGTGGTGGGATTCAGTCCTTGCTTTTTTTTTGCCTTCTGGGAAGCTTGGTTTTGGCTGATATTTTGCAATCACGTCTTTGTACGAGGCTGTAAACTCCTTGGGACAGGTCTATAAATGTTCATGTGTCTTTTTAGAAGGCTGCTGTGTAAGCAATGATGAGAGAAGGCTAAAGAATTCTATTAAGTGCATGTTTGCTTTCATTTGTTTGTGTTCGTTCCTACATTTCTTGTTTCCTTCCTTATTTCCAGACCACCAGTTCGGTCCATTTCTGTACTTCCTCCTCCTGGGCTTGGTGTTCCACGTTTACCTCCAGGGAGGAAGCCCCCTGGACCTCCACCAGGCCCACCCCCACCTCAAGTCCTCCAGATGTATGGCCGTAAAGTGGGTTTCACCTTGGAGATGGCTCCTCGAAGGCGAGAAGAGGAGATTTCTTACAGTTCTGAAGCAGGTAAGAACTTCTCTGTTACTGTCTGGGGTTTTGCTTGACCTGTCCGTTTTGCTGTGGATAGTACTGCTGTGAATGTAGTGTGCCCTACACAAAGTATTCTCTGGGCAGTATGGGTGTTAATACTACTTGAAGGACTTTTCTTAAGTGATTGCACCTCTGAGCTGATTCTGGTATTCTGCGATTCTATCAGCTGTATTTTTAAGTGTTGAAACTTCTAATTACAACTTTCCTATGTAGCCTTAACAGTGCTGAAACATTGGACATATTGATTCCTTAAAAAAACTTAACCAGTCTCAGAGAAGTCTTCCTATTGCCCCCTCCAAATAAAACAAAACAACAACAAAAAAACCCAACAACCAACACCCAACTCCCCTCTGCCAAAATAAACCCCCCAAAAAAACCAAACCCAAAACAAAAAAACAAAACCCAAAAGAAAACCCTTCCCCTCTCCCCCACAAAACCCCCCAAAAAACTCAAAGCAAAGCCAAAATCCATACCAAACCAGCACCAACCAACCCTGGGTATGCATTTGCTAGGAGAAACTAGGTCCTCTTTTTCACAGTTACTGTGTCATCTCTAGAGAAACTTTAGCGAATGGGTGAATCGGCTTTATTGCACACCAGAAAACACCCAAGTATTTCAGTGGGCAATTGCAACTCGTTAGTCTGTTCCTCTTGAGCAGATAGGAGCTGCCTTCACTTGTTTGCTGTGCAAATTAACCAGTGGCTTAATAGAAAATATTAGAAATAGACTCTCCCAAAATATTCTTTAAGAATATGAGCTAAACAGTAAAGCGTTGACAACATGTCCATGCTGTTGCTAGGAGGATTTTTCTAACTGTAGACATGCAAAATACTTAGTTTTCACACCGGTGTATTTGGAGTTTATGCATTTCCTAATACTTCGCTTCCCACAGGACAGCGAGGGCATGATGATGACATGTCCAGTACTAGCGAAGACGAAGGTTATCCTGAGGATATGGATCAAGACAAGCATGATGATAGTAGTGATGACAGTGACAGTGACAGGTCAGATGCGGAGAGTGAAGGCGAGGACTTCCTGCATCGTGATAATGACAAGGAGAGGGAAGGTGGTGAAGAAAAGAAATCGGGTATGATATGGGAAGTTATAGATTGGGGTTTGATGTTTCAAAAGAGTAATGTTACTTAACAGAGTTTGTGTCTGTTTTCCTGACTGAGGGGAGGGAAGTTAATTTGTTTTGCTCTCTGTTCTAACTTGCCTAAATTTCAGCTGAAGAATTTTCATTAGCAAACAGATCAGAAGGAAATTATCTAGAAGTGAAGCATCTTTCAGGTGGAGCTGCTTTCTTAACAGTAGAGTTAGCTTAGTAAGGTTGCAAGATATTTTTCACCTGAAGTATTGAGTTGGCAGGGTACATTACAAAAATTATGCATCAGTGTAAAATATATTCACTCTTTAGTGACTTGAACAACTGAGACCACTGTGTTTCATACCCCTGATGCTTCTGGATAAATTTTTTTTCTTCATTGCTTAGGGGACACCAATTGATGGATAATACTGGGTTAGCAAAACTTTAAATAGTCAGTAACACGGTGTTAACCCTTATGCAAGGAGCATCACTATTCTAGTTAGAATGATACATTATCCATAGAACTATAGCATAGCTTGGGTTGGAAAGGACCTTACGATCATGTAGTTCCAACCCCCTGCCATGGGCAGGTTCCATACCAGGTAGAAGATTAAATCTTGGCTGATTTCTGTTGTTTTCTTCCCAGCTCCCACCACTCTTGCCCATGCTTTGCTTTGCTTTCCCCAGGTCACAGTGTGCGGTTTGCAGACATGCCTGGGAAGTCACGAAAAAAGAAAAAGAACATGAAAGAATTGACTCCGCTCCAGGCCATGATGTTACGAATGGCAGGTGAGTGAGATGGATATGTGAAGTGGAGTTATGCCATCAGGCTTCCAGTTAATATTTTTCTGGTAAGCTTACTAGGTTTGCACAGATTTTATTTCATAGAGTAAATATTTTACTGTTGTGATGTAAGAGTGTAAACTGTGGTTAGGTTTTGGTGGTGGGGTTTTTTAATGAGTTTTCATCCATTAGTGTGTCTGTTTTGCACAAAGTTGAAGTTACAGGAGCAACATGTGTTTTTTTGAGGTACTGGGATTTATTTATTTATTTTTTTTTTTCTTTTAAAGTTTTCTTAACTTTGAAACTATTGTTTGTTTGAGCATGAGTGAAAAAGAAAAGATGTGATTGTCTCTGGGCTCAGCCTGTAACCTGAAAGGATTTGTACTCCTTAAAAAGATCCTTCAGAAATAAGTTAACAGAGAGTGAAGATTTTCTTTTCTTCCTTATTCGTTTTTTTGTGGGGTTATTTTTTTATTTTGGTTTTTTTTTTTTTTCTTCTGCTTGTTTTAGACACCCCAATATTTTTCAAAGGTGCTGGGGTTTCTTGGACATGGGGATTATGTATGTTTTGAGGTTGTGTCCCCATATGCCCTCCTACCTGTGGAAGCTCCCGCAAACCATAGATCAACTAGCTGCAGTTCAGGTTGTTAGTAGAAGTTTCTGCTCCTACAGGAGCACACAGCTCTTGGTGACAGAGCTCTATCTAGAACTGTGACTTTTATTTTGTATTATTATTTTTTAATTTTCTGTTTAAAATGTACTCAGTTTTCTTTCCTTTGAGAAAGACCTTTGAGGAAGGTTTTTTTTTTTTTTTTTTTTTTTTTTTATTTGATTTTATTTTGTGTGCTCAATTTCTCTGATGTTTCACAAAGATATTACCTGTGGGTAGATTTTTACAAATATGTCTCCATTTCCAGGACAGGAAATTCCAGAAGAAGGGAGAGAAGTGGAGGAATATTCAGAAGAAGAGGAGGAAGAAGAAGAGGACTCGGAGTCTGAAGAGGCAGCACAACAGCAACAGCAACAACAACTCAGTGAGGAAGCTCTTACACTCGTCTACTGCAACTTCCCAGACACAACAGCAGCAGCCACCTCCACAGCCTGTTCCTCCATCTCAGATACAGGCACCTCCTATGCCTGGGCCACCTCCACTAGGACCACCTCCTGCCCCTCCACTGAGGCCCCCAGGGCCACCCACTGGCCTTCCTCCTGGCCCTCCACCAGGTGAACACTTGATGTACTCTGGTTTGAATTGTGCAGGCACTTGATACTACAGAATGTATTAGGTTTGGAGTTTTGAAGCTGTAGAATGTGTTGCAGGCAGCGTACAGGAGCCCCATGTGGTAATTGACGAGACTTGTGTGATCTCTTCCGTGGCAGTCTGTTGTTGCTGTACTGTGCTTTTGAGGCATAAGGCCTCCGTTGCTGTAGTCAGCCTGGTGGGCATTGTTACAGTTTGTAAACTGTAATCCTGGCAGGCAGCAGTAGTTGGAATATGAAGCATAAGGCCTGCTGCTATGTGCCCCTCCAGTGTGTGGTGGGTTTCCCTTTAGTGATTTCTTGTGTTGATCTCCCCACATCCCGCTGAGTGAGGCCTGATGAAAGAGGTTGGGGAAGCACTGCCCAGCTATATAGGTTTTGGCATAGATTTCTTTCGTAATGTAAGCTACAGCTTCTGCTACTCTACCACAGGAAGGTATTTCACTCTTACTAGGGAAGATAACTATCCTCAAATGAAATAAGTACTACGTTTGAATTCACAGCAATGTTGTACTGCCTAGACACTATTAACAATAAGACCAGTTGGTACCGTTTTCTTTTATAGTGCATGATTTTCTGAGGGCAAGCACTTGAATTTCTTTGATCTGGAGAAAATTGATTTTTCTGGAAGTTGATAGGGTTGCTGTACAGCTGAACTGGATAACAGTAACAGGTTGCTTTGTAATTAAAGTGTATAAATCTATTGCTTGTTCTTAAATTGCAAATATCAATAGTTGGGCTATAGTGAGGAGCATTATATGCCACAATTTTAATGTATTCTGTTCTATGTGGGCACATTAGCAACCTGATTTTCTTGGGGGGGGAGGCAAAGCTAGCTTTCCAATGTCTTCCCTGCTGTTCCATTTCTGATACTTCCTGCAGGGGGAAACTCAAACCAGTTACTTTCAATAGAGCAAAACTACTTTTTCAGCCAGAAGGGTAGTGAAATTCCAGAGTGAAAAGTTTTTAGCTGTTAGAATGCTGACAACCTTGTCTCAGTAGCTGTTCTCACCTATTGCTTCATTAAATGGAGAGTAGCCCTTTTTCCAGTGGGAGAGGATACCTACACTTGACTATTACGATGAAGCTTTACTCTAACTCTACAACTGCTGCCTCTTTTTGAGATATTTAGAAGATCTCTTTAATCTAGCAGCTAGCTAGTATTAGAATAGAGTTCAAGTTACTGTTGAAGGTCTTCAGTATTAGCTGGTGGGATAGTTGCTGGAGGGTTTTTTTAACCATGAACTCAGTTTCTCTTTTGTATGCATGCTTCCAGGAGCTCCTCCGTTCCTGAGACCTCCTGGCTTACCAGGACTGCGTGGGCCTTTACCTCGACTTCTGCCACCAGGTCCTCCACCTGGGCGACCACCAGGCCCCCCACCAGGTCCCCCACCAGGTCTGCCCCCAGGTCCTCCTCCACGTGGTCCCCCTCCTCGTCTTCCTCCTCCAGCACCACCAGGTAAAGTGTTCTGTTTGCTTCAGTACCAAGCCTCTTCTAGCTTTAATTTTCCCAGTTTTTACTGTGGTGACCAAGTCAATAAATACAACTGGTTACCAGTTTGTCTGTGTTCATGTCCGTGTGACTGCATTGTGCTACGTGCTGTTACGTTTCCCCGTGTAATGACAAGGAATTCCATGCTTCTGTGTGTGGTTCGGTAGCAAGAAATCTGCCCTCAGAAAGGGAATTCTGGAGTTTAAGCTTCTGATGGACTGTTTCTGAATAACCCCTGGGAGCTATAATTCACTTAATGAGTTGGAGATAGGGTTATTTATTTTTTTCTTTCTGGTCAGAAACATTTCTGAGGAGTCTGAAATTCCAGTGGGATGGATCATCAGGAAACTTTGTTTTTCAGGTTTTAACTTTAAAATTTGAAAGGGAGCAATACACAGGCTCCTGTAGCTTTTGAAGTTTGAGGAGCAGCAGCATTTTCAACCCAGCATTTGGTGCAGGGTTGAAAACTTTTTTTTTTTAAGCCAGTGCTACTGCTTCTTGTTGGGGGTGTTTTCTTCCATTTTTGTTTTTCCTTCTCGGCTTTCAGAGCCTGTGCAAATGGCCAAAGATTTTTAAGACATCCAGGTGTGGAGTCAGCTCATGCTTTTTTTTATTTCTCCTTCTTACAGGTATCCCTCCTCCTCGTCCAGGCATGTTACGGCCACCTCTGGTGCCTCCCTTAGGACCTGCCCCGCCTGGGCTCTTCCCACCAGCTCCTATTCCAAATCCTGGGGTTCTGAGTGCCCCACCCAGCCTGATTCAGCGCCCCAAGGCGGATGACACCAGTGCAGCCACCATTGAGAAGAAAGCTACGGCCACTATCAGTGCCAAGCCGCAGATCACTAACCCCAAGGCTGAGATCACTCGCTTTGTGCCCACTGCCTTGCGAGTGCGCCGGGAGAATAAAGGGGCTTCAGCTGCCTCCCAGAGAAAACAGGATGATGAGCCTGCTCTTCCATTAACCAAAGCTGCCCCTAAGGCTGGATCATCTGCCCCGATCTCTGTACAGACAAAGGATGATGTGTATGAAGCCTTCATGAAGGAAATGGAGGGTCTCCTGTGACCTGTCATAGTCCTACTCAGCTTTCCTGCCCCTCTGAACACAGATCAGACCACCGTGGAGGGAGAGAAGGAAAAATTATCCTTCAGCCAGTGAAAGGGCTCACTTGACAGGGAATAGTTCCCTACCCACAGGTTAACTTGCCAGTATGCTCTGGATAGAGACCGCTGCAGATGAGGTGTGGCTGGGGACCTCCTTTCAAGAGCTAGCATGTCCCCTTGGTGGAAGAAAATCACACTAAAGGTGGTGGTACTACTTCCTTCGAGTCTTCCCCCTTCCTTGGAGGGGAGTAATGGTACTCTGGGGAGGGGGGTGTGGGAGTAGGGGTTGACTATGCTCTGCCTGAATCCTTGCACATCCTGAATGCTCTGGCGAGGGTAGTGAAACAGGTTTTTAAAGAGACAGGAAAGTGTTAGCAGCATTTCGTACACATATGGGTGTCCAGTTTTTATTTTCTGTACTGTTCCTTTCTGTAAATATTTTATAATCCTGTTTTTTAGTTGCAGTGAGATTGATCAATCATCTTTCTTCCAGGGTAGTCAGGGAGGTAACTTGTTGCGTATACTGTACACTGGAATTTTGCACCCTATCCCTTTATAGTCATCTTGATGGCTTTCATCGGCCGGGGAAACTTCATTTTGTCTTGTGAAAGACAATAAATGTTCAGTGTATCAAAATACAGGTTTGCTTGTGATTTGTCTAAAACTAGCATGTGGATGGAAAGCGGGGAGGTTCTTTGCTGGCCTTGGGGGAGGATAGAGGGATTCTGAACCTCAAAAAAGAAAAGCAATAGCTGCATTATAAATAATAGATACCTTTTTCTTTTTCTTTTTTCTTTTTTTTTTTTTTTAATTTAGAGTTCTCCTGTTCTTGTTTTTTCAGCTCCTGAACATCTCTTTCAACCTTTGTTGGTAGCTAGTAGAAACTTAATTTCTGAAGTACCACTAATAATTACAAAGTTACTTTTTTTATATATTCTTACCAAAAGGTTTACTTCGTATTGGGCCTCAGATACTCTGTTCTAAGAGCTTGGCAGGTAACTTTACGTGTGGAAAATACCTGATTTCAGATTCTATGAAGTCAGAGCTTTTAAGTTGCAGATACTTTTTTAGAAAGGACTTCCACTTTTCCATCTTAAAGTCTGTTTTGGCAGAAGTATCCCTTTGGCTTCATTCACTATGCAGACAGAGTCAGATACTCCAATAACCCTTACCACGCCAAGTGCAAGAAACAAATCTTTGTTCTCATTTGAAGCAGAACTGCAAAATCTCTTGGGATCTTGTAGACAAATGACTCTTAAGACCCAGAGGATCAGTTGTGTTGGCAACAAATCTCTCCCAAATGAATTGCTGCTTCAGAGGGGATAATAAGTATTTCAAGCATGCAAAGTTTTGCCTGTAACACTGAATTTGAGCACAAAGCCTACTAATAGTGAGGTATTTATGTAGATGTCTCATCTTGTTTAAAAACAAAACAAAACCAAAACCAAACAGAAAAACCCCAACAAACCAGAAAGTGTTTAAGTTAGTGTTTTAAGTCTGATACAGTGTAAAAGAAATTGAGAGAAGTCTTCATTGTCCCTGCTGAAGAGCTTGTAAGCATCTTAGTGATTTTAAGGATGAGTTCTTTATAACATACCGGTTTCTAGACAAATATATCCAGACTTGTGGAGTTTTAGATTTTTAATGAAGAGAGTTTATATCAAGCAGCCAGACCAGCAGATACCTTGAACAATACCTTCAGTTGGCTGTCTCAGACTTAGCTGAGTACTCGCTGTTTTGAGGTTAAATCTGTTTTAAGGAGACAGAATTATTATCTACCTGAACTTACACTTGAAAACTTTGATTCTGTTTTTCATTAATTCTGAACACAAGTTTGTATAGCAGTTCTTTCTCTAGTTCAGGAATTAGTTGCAGTTGTGTCAGTAGTATCGTAAATCTTTGGTTATATTTCTTTATATTTTTGTGCCTTTTTTTTTTTTTTTTGAGGCATTTTTGTCTGTAGGTGAAATGTTTGAATGGTGATTTTGGGGGAAGGGGCATCATTGTGGTACCTCTGACCCTTGGTTTGATTATGTTATTTTTGCTATATTCTCACATAGCTGAGCCACCTTTTCCTCTGTTGGGATAGAGAGAACACTTTCTTGTGTGTCTGTACCTATCCTTTTTAGATGGAGACAAAGGGATTTGAATTTGCTACATCTTTAAAATGGCTCAAAAAAGGGAAATATAATGCACAAGGACTGTACGTAATACTGGAAAGGGCACTTCTCACCCTGTCTGGGGTGAAAGGTGAGGGTGTGAGTAAAAAAAGGTAGGTGGTTACTTGTAGACCTCTAAGATGCCTCTTTAAGGGGTTGTGGAGAAGGGAGGTGAGGTGTAGGAGAGAGTACTCCTGGAATGGGCTTTGTGGCTGTGGGGAAGAGCTGGGTT